TCTCCGTCCTAGTAAGGAAAAGGCCGTTCGGCACCCTCCGTTCGGATGTCAAAAAAATCTGCAGGCCGAACAACCTTTCGCCGCTTTTCACAAGAGTGTCGGCCCCTACAAAACAGTACATGACAGTGCTTTTCACCGCCAAGACAAACAAGACGGAGATCCCGCTTAGGAGCATCGTGTCAGAAAATGGAGGCTAGCAGAAGCCTCTGGATCTCTACCTGCAGCAGCACTTCGCAGCCGTACCTTTGGATCAGTCGTTCCGCGTCGGCATCTCTCAGGAACTCCTCAGAGTTCCCCAGCCTCTTCATACATCAGGTCCATGCAACTCCTTGTTCTCTCTAGACGTCGCCGACATGTATCCTGGACTCGGTAGAAAAGGCCTTTGCTACACAGGTAATAGTCAACATCCGAGGTTCTTCCGGCATTACCCTCACCGCGTTACTCAGAGTTATCTCCGGTCGCCCGTGGTCAAACATGACGGGAAGATATACCTAAAAGATCGAGTGTCTGCATCGGGTTCTGGCAGGCACCTGCGCTCAGCGAGACATACCTTTCCTTCGTGGAGGAAACAACTGGACAGGCTTGTCCCAGGAACTCAAGTGTACAGATATATGTACGACTGTCTGGTGCTCAGCGACTCTGGCGCGCCCACCGCCACCATCTACTCGGCCTTCACGGAAAACGCGAACGGCCGTGACTTTCACCAGGGAGAACCCCCCGGGGGAGGGTCTCCAGTTCCTCGATGTACGCCTCGTCGCCACTCAGGAAGGCATCCGCTGGCACTTCCAGCAGCGTTAGCAGAAGGCGGTGCTGCCATTTTAAAACCACCGCTCAAAGACTCTAAAAGCGGGCACCGCAAATTGGTTACTCTCATCTACCCGCACAAAGTTCTGCAATCACCTCTCCCCATCCAGCCTGGAGGGACAGCTCAGCCGCCTCAAAAACGCCGGATACACACGCGACCTGCTGGCCTTCACACTCAGAAAACCAATCATCAAAAAAGCCACCGCACAGAAGCCTGCCCGGCATACCAAGAGACACGCGACCTCTTTATTTCCTGTGCGGCCAGACTGGTGTTTTCCGTGCCCTTCTCGAGCGGCGCAGATTACATCGGGCGGACTGTCCGCTGCCTCAGCGATCGCCTGCGCGAACCCGAAAGAGAACTAACAACAACGAAGAGGATTCCAGTCACCCCATGGTCCACCACCTCAAAGTTTTCACCCCCTGTGCCCCCCAGTTCTCGTCCGCGCGTGTTTTGGAGTCCAACAAGAACAACTACGGACGCGAGATCTTGGAGGCGTACGCCATAAAAGAAGCGCCGAGGACCATTTCGTCAGCCTCCGTGTCGCTGTTGGAGAGGGAGTTGACTATCCTCGGGCCAGAGTTGAGGACCTTGGCGGGGCGGGCGAGTGGGCATTGCTTTCGAGAAAAATCGGGATGCCGCCTTCCTTCTTCCTCTCTTTCATCGCTGCCTCTGCGTTTTACTTTCCCCACTGCGCCCTCTCCCCGTCTTTCTCCAGGGCGCCTTCTCTTGTCCCGTCCTTCCCCTCCCCCACCCCCTCTTCCTAACCTTTTCCCTTTCCTCTGGTGAGCTTCACAAGGCGATGCGTGTCGGCAATAAATCATTTGTGTGTTGAACGTTGAAAGAGTGTTGCCTCGTTCCCTGTCATTACGTATAAACCTCTTTCTAAAGTTATGTCAGAGTGTCAACCGTGATGATGTTGGTTTGAATATGTGATGACTCCGAACTTGCGCCGTTAATATTTCGCGCACCGTCAAGTTTGTAGTTCGCAACTTCTGATCCGGACGTCACGAAAGAACACCACAAGAGTGTACCAAGACATTTAGACTAATATGCATAATCCCATCGCTTATTATGCCGGCGAAATCTGTAGAATCACTAGGGTGCGGACACTATGCGCGGTTTTTATTATTCTGCGAAAGAGGAGTACAGCGCAAGCTCAGAACGCGTTTTACAACTGACAAAAATTGCACTTAGTTGATAAGCTGGGAGAGTTGGTAATGATTAAATACAGTTTGATTTGCGCAAATCTTTTGCGCAACTTTAACCGTGTTCAAAGTTGGCCGTGCGCAGAATGCGACTATTGGGCGGTTCCACGTGGCGTACTTCCGAAAACAAAATCTCGCAGGGCGTCATGTTTGCTGCGTCCGGCAAAACGAAAAGAACTGAGAATACTACACTCACAAGGCCTATTCTGGAATATGCAAATATTGTATGTTATCCGCAGCAACTGTAGGAATAAAACAAACAAACATTGGAGACATTTTGCTAGGTGAAGGCGGTTGGCCAGCGAAGCTGGAGGGCACCACCACAAATGAATCACCGAGAGACACAAAAACTCTTCACCAAATGTTTACTTACAGTAAATAAACATCATTTTCAAACGGTAGTGACGATTGTTTTGGGAACGCTATGATATACACTTACGAGTCCATTATAACATTCGTGAGATTCTTTGCTAAAATAAAATATATACATAACCGATGGCGCTCCACACAAGCGCGTTGCTCTTCGGGAGTTTTAACTATACATGGTCTTTCCATAGCAACTGCAGAACACAATGAAATGTCCTGCTCGGCAGCTGCTGCTTCTATATATGTAAAGCGGCGACTTCACCCGAGTCGAGCGGGAGAAGACCTATTGTTCCCGAATGTACTAGTGGTGATCAGAATGTTTTATAATAATAATAATAATAATAATAATAATAATAATATTCTTTATTCAGACAAGTGTCTAGGAGGATGGGGCAAAAGGCGATTTAAATCGCCTGACAGGGCTCCATCCCCCTGTACAGTCAGCAGCACAACGTACAGAAACATAGGAACAAAAACAATCAAATACTAATAGTGGGATTACACTAAGATACATTGATATAACAAAAGAAATGCGGCCGGAAACTTTAATAAATCATGTTATACCTGAAAGGTACGTTTTCAGTGTTCGTTTAAATGTGTATATGGTATTGGAATTATTTATCATGGACAGTATTTCAGGGTGGTTGTTTAATAGCTGTGCGACCTGATAAAATATTCTTTGTTTACCGTAGTTTGTGCGTACTCTGGACTGAGTGTAGTGGGTATGGCGAAATGAGTATATTGATGCATTGTTGATGTAATTTTCATGTACAAATTGAGGGTGTGCTTTTATTTTGTAAAACATGTAAATTGCCAGTTTTTGAATGAGTGATTGTTCTACCGTAGGAAGAGAATACTTGATAAAATATGGGCTAGAGTGTTCCTTATATGAGATATTGGCAATTGACCGTACTGCTCTTTTCTGTAGAATGAGCAGCTTGGATATACAGGTCTGTGAGCACGTACCCCATACCAAACTGCAGTAATTTAAACGAGAATGAACAAGAGTAAAGTATAACTGTCGTTTTAACCAAACCGGAATAATATATTTGAGCCTATTTATAATGCCTATTGACCGGGAGATGTTTGGCCGGATCTGATCAATATGATAAGACCAATTAAGGTTTTCCTGAAAGTATACACCTAAAAACTTGTGAGCTTTTACATATTGAATTTCACTATTTCTAAATCGTAGGTTAACTTCTTGATTAATACTTTTATTTTTTGCTCGAAATATCATATACTTTGTTTCCTCGGTGTTTAGCTCTAATTCATTACATGTCAACCATGCACTTAACTCTAACATCCAATCATTCGCAAGTGATTCAAGTTCATCTATGTTGGCACCAGAAAAAAATACGTTTGTATCATCGGCGTATAGCAGAATGTCAGGTGTGTGGGGAATGTTGACAATATCATTAATATACGCCAAGGATAGACCCCTGGGGAACACCATATTGTATTTTACCGATTTCTGATTTCTCGCAACTTAAAGTCGTATATTGCACACGACCTGATAAGTAATTTTGAATAAGTTCTAGGGCTACTCCTCTAATACCATAGTTATACAACTTCTTCAGAATTATTTAATGCTTAATAGAATCAAACGCTTTCCTGAAATCTAAAAATATTCCTAATGTGTAAAGCTTGGTCTCAAAATTGGTTAAAATTTTGTCCTTGATTTTCAGTAAAGCTTCCTCGGTTGATTTCCCTTTTTGAAATCCATATTGTTGTTCAACAATTAGGTTATTTTTAATAAAATGGTCCGACATCCTGGAGTTTATTATCTTCTCTATTACTTTTAAAAACACTGGCAATACAGATATAGGTCTGTAGTTGTTTAAATTATTAAGTGGCCCACCTTTGTGTATTACTGATACTCGGGCGATTTTTAATTGAGCAGGAAATATCCCGGTGCTTAATATTTTGTCACAGATTGCTGATAGTGGTTGACATATTACCCCAGCAATTGCTTTTATAGGTTTAACTTTCAACTCATCATCGCCGCATGCGCCGCTGTTTCTTAATGAATTTATTACGTTAAGCACTTCAGTCTCTGTAGTTGGTGACAAAAATATAGACTGTTGTAAACATACGCGGGTATGAAATTCAAAGTTTTTTTCCTGTTGTAAGGAAAAGGTTGGAGAGCCCGAAAGCAAAAAATGAGCATTAAATAGATTTGCAAGTTCTCTATCAGAATAATCCACGTCATCTATTCTAAGGACATTGGGGATGGTATTGCTTGACTTGGACATCAGTTCTTTTGCCGTCTTCCATACTTTCACTGGATTATGTTGAACTGTAATGAATTTATTTTTATAATAGTTTACTTTCGCCTTTTTTATGTCGGAGTTTAACTTGTTCCGTCTCTTTTTGTATTCAGCCAGTATATCGAGGGCTTTTGTTTTTATGAATGTGTCGCAAAGTTTATTTCGCTCATTAATTCATTTGAGAAGTGTTAGGGTAATCCAGGGTTTCCGTGATTTCTTGTGTCTTTTAGCTTTCCTAAATGGAAACGCATCTTCATAGGCTCCTTTTATCTTTTTTATAAACTTATCGTAGGACTTACTAGGGTTTGGCTCATTGTATATATCATTCCAGTGTATGGTCGATATAAGCGTAACGAAGCGTTCGATACTATAATCGTTTCTGTCTCGATAATAAGGGTTAGTTATATTCGTTTTATTGTAGCCGACGTTTGCGCATGGAAGAAAGCAAAAGAGAGGTAAGTGATCACTTAAATCCACCGTCAGTACACCAGATACTACGTCATTTCTCATTGCATTGGTCAAATATAAATCAATTAAAGTTTCCGTCTCAGATGTAACGCGGGTAGGGCAATCAATTACATTTTCATAACCATGTGATTGCACGAGATCTAAAAATTCTAATTGCCATGAGTCAGACAACATCAGATTAATATTAAAATCACCAACTAGTATCATAGGAAGTTTACTCTCAGATGCATACAGAAAAATTTCTTGTAAGAAGTCTAGAAAAACACTAGGTGATCCGGATGGCGGTCTGTACACAACACCTATAATGTAATCACGACACCCTACAAAAAGACACTCATAATTCGCAGAGACACGAGTATATTCAGAGATAACACTGCATGCCAAGTAGCTTTTATAGTAGAGGGACACTCCCCCACTTTTTTTCCCAGTTCGAAATATCTCTGTGTGGTAGTAACCGTTAAATTCAGGAATATGTGAACCATTCGTAAGCCATGTCTCAGTGAATGCTAGGATATCAAAGCGTAGTTCTAGGCAGTCAAGTAACTGTTCAATTTCGTCACATTTGTTTCTAATGCTTCTTGTGTTTAAATGAAATACAGATAATCTATTGTCATTGTGTGCAATGTTTCCATTAGCAAGATTTCTGAACGAATTGTTATCATAATAACTGTGTTCTGTGGAACAACTACCCATTATCGAAAAAATAAAAGTAAAAGTGAACTTCGCGTTTCTGATTAACGTATCAGTTCCATGTCATCTTCGCGTTCTATCCTGATAAGACGGTCACCGGAAGCTTTTCTCACGAACATCTTTCCTTCTTTGTGCCATGCAAATCGATAGCCCTTTTCAGCGGTTTTGGTCCTAATCTGCCAGAATAACTTTTTGTTTTGAGCTGTCAGGTTTTCAGAGATTCGCACTTTAGATTTCATCTGCCTTAGGCGCGCATTTCCCTGTAGCCACTTATCTCGGGTGAGACGTGACGCAAATCGCACTAAGATGACTGGAACTTTGTCGGACTTGGGGGGGAGTCTGTGTGCTGCCTCGATATCTTGCTCGGTCAGCTTTGGTAACTGAAGTTGTTCCCAGAGCGCGTCTAGTTGACCCAGTAAGTTTTCATTTGCGGAAGGTGCCAGCCCGTGCACTTCAATGTTTTGCCTTCTACTGTACTGTTCTAGATCGTTCACTTCGCGCCTGAGCTGTTGGACCTCGGTGTCGCCACTTATTTCCACCCACTCGATACGCTTTTTTAGCTCGCTGATTTCGTTTTTCTGCTGCTTAACTTCGGTAAGCAGTACGTCATGCTGGTCAGACATGACCTGGACCGAGCGCTCGATTCCATCAACAGTGTTCTTGATTTCCATCAATGCGTCAACTTTTGCGTGTAGTGTCATCGAAACAGAGAGTTTTCTACTTATTTCCGCAAGTGTGTTTCCATCATCTTTTTCGTTGCTTGATTTGGGATTTTCACCTACTGGATCAATTCTTGCTTTTGCTTTCTTACAAGTTAGACACGTCCAGGATTCCTTCGAAGCAGCACTTTTCTTTTAGAGCGCAGCTCTTAGGGGCCCGTTTCCGGCGTGAGCGGCGTCGAAGTCGCAGTCTGCGTAACCGCGCGGTGCATCATGGGAAATGTCCCATAATGCACCGCGCGAGCCCCCCACCGGGGTCACGTGACCTCGTGGGGGTCACGTGACACCCCGAGGTCACGTGACCCCCCGAAGTCACGTGACTCCCCTGAGGTCACGTGACCCCCTCCTCGAGGTCACGTGACCCCCGCCGATGTCGCGTGACCCCCCCGATGACGTCATCGTCACTGATGACGTCACCGGCATCCACATCGTCATCGTCATCATCACTGATGACGTCACCGGCATCCGCATCGTCATCGTCATCATCACTGATGACGTCACCGGCATCCACATCGTCATCGTCATCATCACCGATGACGTCACCGGCATCCACATTGTCATCATCACTGATGACGTCACCGGCATCCGCATCGTCATCATCACTGATGACGTCACCGGCATCCTCATCGTCATCGTCTTCATCACTGATGACGTCACCGGCATCCACATCGTCATCGTCATCATCACTGATGACGTCACCGGCATCCACATCGTCATCATCACTGATGACGTCACCGGCATCCACATCGCCATCGTCATCATCACCGATGACGTCACCGGCATCCGCATCGTCATCGTCATCATCACTGATGACGTTACCGACATCCGCATTGTCATCGTCATCATCACTGATGGCATCATCAGTAACGTCACTGATGTCGTCACCGGCATCCGCATCGTCATCGTCATCATCACTGATGACGTCATCAGCGACGTCACTGATGACGTCACCGACATTCGCATCGTCATCGTCATCATCACTGGTGAAGTCATCAGTGACGTCACTAATGACGTCATCGGTACCCGCATCGTCATCGTCACTGATGACGTCATCAGTGACGTCATTGATGACATCATCGGCATTGGGGGTCACGTGACCCCCCCCTGGTTAGTTTAACCCCCCCCCCCCGCAGTGCCCTTCCCTCCTCCTCCTCAAGAGCTGCGCTCTAATTCGGCGTTACAGGGGGTTGTAAGCGGCTTTCATTTTTGAATGCGCTTTTAGGCACTCCCGAACACGCCCCCAAGTGGAAGCTGAACTCACATTCAGCACAACACATAAGTGAGTCACTTTTTGGCAAGGGTTCATCGCACGCTATACGTGCTGAATCCCCTTCATCGGATGACATCGCACTAAAACAATCCTAAATTTAGTGGTAGCAGTAGCAGCAGCAATGGCAGTGAAACTTATAAGTTTAAGGAAATAGAAAAAAAAAAGCAATGCACCAACCTGGAATTGTAAGTGCGACGTATTAGGGCAAGAAGGTACTGCCGTTGCCGCTGCTAGACTGCTTCTGATGCGCCGTCTTGAAGACAGTCGTTTTATCCGTGTTAGCGTGGTGTCGTCGCTCAGCCTCTTTGTCGCTGTCCAATGGCGGTCAGGTGATAGCTTGCAGTAGTCGGCGGCGTCCAGGAGCAACGAAGCAATTCAGCGGTCAGTTGGAGCTGGAATAGTAAGTGCGACGTATTAGGGCAAGAAGGTACTGCCGTTGCCGCTGCTAGACTGCTTCTGATGCGCCGTCTTGAAGACAGTCGTTTTATCCGCGTTAGCGTGGTGTCGTCGCTCAGCCTCTTTGTCGCTGTCCAATGGCGGTCAGGTGATAGCTTGCAGTAGTCGGCGGCGTCCAGGAGCAACGAAGCAATTCAGCGGTCAGTTGGAGCTGGAATTGTAAGTTCGACGTATTAGGGCAAGAAGGTACTGCCGTTGCCGCTGCTAGACTCGCATATGACAAAAAACGACCAGGGCTTTGAAAAAAACTTTTGTTTTCAGCATAATTTTTTTTTACACAAATGCATCTCTCAATTTCTTTCAAAAGTTTTGATACTTCTCTCCTTCTCTCTCTCTCTCTATCTCTCTCTTTCAAAAAAAAAAATTATTTTTGCTTGTCAAGCCACTGCTTTGTGGCAGTTCGCAGTGCACTCAAATCATCGAACCTTGCTTTTTGGGTGTGTTTTCAAGTTCGGGAATAATAAAAAAAAGTCACTAGTGGCCAGATCAGAACTGCAGGGTGGGTGGTCAAGCTCTTCGAAAGAACACTCTCGAATGACATCTTGGGCAACGCGAGACTTGTGCACCGGGGCATTGTCATGCAGAAGGAGGACGCCTCTTGTCACCAATACTCCTCGTTTTTTCACGATGGCCTCACGCAGTTTGCCGAGAACGTTGGCATAGTATTCGCCTGTGTTTGTCCTGCCGCTTTCTAGATAATAGATAATCATTCAGTAAAATTCCTTTTATGTAAAAAAAAAACAAAACAACTGTCGCCATCACTTTCTTTCCCGAGCGTTGCGTCTTGAATTTTTTCGGAGGGGGAGACCCCGAATGCCTCCACTCCATAGACCGTTGTTTTGTTTCCGCGTCCTATTGGTAAATCCACGTCTTGTCCCCAGTCACTTGGTGGGAGAGAAAATCTCCTGGGTCGCTCTCATAGAAGCTCAAAAGCTCCCTTGACGAATGCAAGCGGTGCTGTCGATCCTGCGTGGCTTCCGTGGCACCCATCGTGCCGAGACCTTGGACTTACCCAAAACATGATGAATGATTGTAAAAACACTGCCATACGAAATGTTCAATTCTGTAGCAACTTCGGACACCTTAATTCGGCGATTCTTTAGAATGAGGATCTCAGCTCGGGCTGAATGATCCAAATCGGCCGAAGTGGTGGGCCGCCTTGGCTTTGGTTTGTCTTGCACGTCCACAGGAGCGCGTTTAAACTCGTTTAACCAACGAGTTACTGTAGCATATGAAGGGCATTGATCGCCGTACACATTCACCATTTTACTGTGAATTTCCTTGGTGTAACTCCCTTCGCAGAAAAACTTTATCACGCTCCGGCACTCAACCTTGAAATCAGGGGAGGAGGCTATGTTTAACTGAATGGTGCAGACCAAAAGCGGAACAGGAAGTCTTGATATTACGAACATATTTGGCCAGATAGATGAGCTAACCAACTGTTATATAGACATCCCTGTCATACTTATGGTTATAGCCGAGTTGCAAAACTTTCTGATCACCACTCGTATCTTCATCATTACATGTTTCGACGTCTTTTCTTATCAAAATCCGTATCGAGGTGACGAGGCGTGTATGCATTTCCACACGGATACCAGAAATGCCTGGAATCCTAGTCTTATGGAGTTTTGTTGCAAAACAAATATGAATACGGTTTAAGAACTTGCCTGATCGACATGCAATGATCTAGCTCTTCTGCCTCAAATTTGCTTTCAGAATCTAATGTTTAACCGTTAGAGACAAGTGCGAAGATAAATATACTAAAAAATTTAGGATAGGTGACATTTATATATTATATTTCAGTTTTACGTGGTTAACTTTTGCGACAACTGTAGTACTTGGATATTAAATATGTAAAATTAAATTAACCTCTACATGGTACGAACTGATGTTTACTGGAATATGAGTTAAAATTAATTTCTTATTAACATATATTCCAAACTTCGTACCAGCCGCACAACAGGACATTGGCGATATTATGGCTGTTGTGACAAAATAAAACACCATGCTAGCCCTCATCTTCAGGTATGAACTTAAGCTGATGAATACATCGTGAAGAAGCGTTTAAAATCGATAAATACCTGGCAACGATGAGTCATGAAATCTAACTAATTGTTGAAGACTGCTCTAGGTTCGCCCATTCATGCTAGAGTTGGTCAAACGTCTGCTCAATGTTGCTGGCTTTCTTTTCCTTGAGAAGGCAGTCCAACCCTTCCAAAAGATGCTTGATTAAATTAAGTTCCGATGACTTACATGGAAAGACCATCAGGTTTCGCCTTCTTTTCCTGAAC